AAAAACACAAAGTAAAATAACATTTTACCCAAGATTGAGGGGCTCCTTTGCAAATAACACAACAAATTTTTTGAATGCCCCCTCCTATGCGCCATATACACAGCGCAAAACCAAGGCCACCAGACGACCCACCACCTACAATTCTCACTCTCAAATTCGACATTCGAAATAAAATTAGGCTCGCCGGAAGGGACGAAGGAGTACAGATATGGATTCCACTCCTCCTCGTGCCCGCATAGATCAGGTTTTTCGCTAATATAAAGAAACCCTACTGTTGTAAAATCTCATAGCCCGCTTGTATTTTAGCGCTGATTGGCATTTGGGTTCTGTTTATTGAGGGAATGAAATCACCATCTTGCTCGTTTTTATTCCTTTTATTTTTGGAGCATTTGAATTGAACGCTGGTTGATGAATATTTTATCTTTTTCTTTTGTTCTCTGTACATTTGTACCCGTAAAAGGAAGTAAGGACTGTGTAGTGGTGTGAGACTAATGAATTTATTTATGGAGTTCCCTATTTTCTCCCTCACTGTTGTCTGATTGGTTGAGAGAATTAGTGTTTGGATTGTGGGCTTTGATTTGTTATGTTATCAAGGTTTATATAATTGACAGTTAATACATTCAAGCTTAATTTATGTTTGTTTTTTTCTTTTTTTATTTAATTTTTTTCTGGGTTGTCTGGTTGGTTAAGAGAATGTTTAGACAGTCTTCTTGGCTGCGGGTAAAGCAAGTTAGAGTTTTCATGCTAAAAATTGGTTATGATAATGAATATATCTTTGTACAGTTCTTTTCCGTGAGAAAGAAGAGAAAGATTGGGTCACCTGCTTCAAAGTCATCTGGGAGACAAGAAAAAGAAGCCAGAAAGCAAAATGAAGGATCGCCTACTGCGAAAGGTTCTTTGGAAAGCTACCTCGGGGCTTCAAAGGATGGTAATTCTCATGCCAAATCACCGGACGCAACTTGTGATCAGAAGACTAGGCAGGTTCATGTCAAGAGAAATTTGACTTTGGAAAGCGGGTTATCATCAAAAGATGAAAAAGGGCGGCAGCAAAGTTCTGAAGCTTCTGGAGTTCATCAGATATCACAACATGAACCATTGTGTGATATTCAGAAGGATTCTTCCATAGCTGGTACAGTTGAGCCGGATTCTGAACTTAAGGATTTTGCTACTGGCTTCTTATCATTATATTGCAGGTATAACTTTTCTTCTCCATTTTACACGTTTGTGGGGCTAGAGTTGTTTAACTCCCCTCATTTGCTGGACTGTTTATGGGTGTCTCAGTTTATATTTTGAAGGTATCATTGTCCTCATTGATGAATGAACATTGCCTCATGTGCAGCGAGCTAAAGAGCAGTGCAACTTTGCCATCAGAAACAAAGGAAGTTATGAATAAAACATATAGTACCTCGTCTGTGCTTCAGCTAGAAGAGAAAGCACCCAAAGGACGGTGTTGTTCGGATGATGGATATCAATCAAAAATTCCGAGTGCATCCATTTCCTCTCCCAAAGTCATCCATTCTAAAATGGTCGACGAGTCTCTGGATATTGATTCTAATTGCCTGCAAAAGGTAATAATCCACTAAAATTCCTGGACATCTCTTACAAGACATGTCTCTGAAAGTAGGTCATATGTGTTGACAGGTTACGATGGGCAACAATCATACTGAAACACTGGCCGGTTTGAGAAAATGCAGCTATGCATCTAATCTATGTGCAGCTGAATCCAAAACGCCCGGTGCTTTCTCTATTAAACTTGGAGCTCGAGAAACACCTCAGTCAACAAGGGGAAGCTCCTCGTTTTCTCCTGGGGATACATTTTGGAATGAAGCAATTCTAGTTGCTGATGGTTTATTAGGGGAAAATGGTGGTTTTGTATCTCGTATTGAAAATCATAAAGCCATGAAGGTTGATTATAGTAATTGTTCAAATAATGTAAATAAGGAAGGTAAATCCAATCTGTTTAGCAGTTCTCTGGATGGTGTTAATAATACAGTTTGTGGTGTTGACAAAAATTTGGAGAAAGAAGTGTCACCATTACCTGTGAAGCATTTTGACTTCAGTCTTGAGACAAAATATTCTGACATGGGGACGTCAGCTAATGTTAATAATACTAATCCTGTCATTTTGTCGAGGACTGATAATACTCAGAATTTTAGTTGCATGGAAAGGTGTCCCAAAGATCAAATAGCTGAAGTTCCTTTGATTGCTCAAGAAACAATCCTTGGACATGCAAATATATTAAGAAGTGAGGAGCATCTTAATCAAAGTAGCCACCATCTTACAACTAATACACCGGACAGAGGGTATGGTCAAATTGCTGCAAATCACAAATCTAAAAGCGATGGCACTCCTGCAAGTTCTTCAGTCAAAGATTGTTTGCAACTCACTACTTGGCTTCCTCTTGAAATATGCAAAATATACAACAAAAAGGGAATATCAAAACTGTATCCTTGGCAGGTATCCCTTTCATCTTTTACATTAAAATTTTCAAGCTCAGAGCTTGGGAGTTTTTACTCTTGGAGGATTATTTGACCTATAATGAAATTGTAGTTTGATGAAAGCACTATGGTATATCATGCATCAGTGCTTATTGCGAAATTGTAGTTTATGCCTTGTGGAATTGTGTGTATGAACTCTTTTCGTATCTAATCATTATTTTTTCCCAATTTGCAGGTTGAATGCCTTCAGGTGGAAGGTGTCTTGCATACACGAAATCTAGTTTACTGTGCATCTACGAGGTAATTTAAATTATCTTAAAATTTAGGCAACTCATCACATTCTCTTTTCCTCATCTGAGTTTTGCATTTTATGTTTGTTAAGCATGTCAACTCATTATATTTTTACTACATTTTGCAATTGATGCTTTGAAATTTCCTTTCATAATTCATGTGGTTATTTTTGTTGACGGTTAAACAAATATAAGCTGGTAGATTCACATTTACATAAGCAAACCATTTGGAATTAATACTAAATATACGAGAAATACAGAACAAAATTTGTTTCAAATATTCCCACCATAAGCCTAAGAGTAATTGTCTTTGAGAATTATGGGTCATGATATTGAGATGCTTCTCAATCCAGATTGGAAGTGGTGCAAGGTAGCAAGTCAGGTCTTGAGCAGTAATTTTTTGAGTGAAGATAAATAATTTCCTGCAGTATTATTAATTATTAATTTATTTTTAACATTCGACATGACAGACTTTATTCCTTCAGATATTTTGTAGTTCTAAATCTCTTTCTTTGTTTGTCATAGTGCTGGTAAAAGTTTTGTTGCTGAGATATTGATGCTGAGGAGAGTTTTAGCTACTGGAAAAATTGCACTACTCGTACTTCCATATGTATCTATCTGTGCCGAAAAGGTGCGATATTCTTCGACCAGAGAGAATAGTTTGACACTTGGCTCATGTCTGTCTTATGCTTCAATCTCTGTTTGGTAAAATGCAGGCCGAACACCTCGAAGTTCTGTTAGAACCTGTCGGCAGGCATGTACGTAGTTTTTATGGGAATCAAGGTGGTGGCACTCTTCCCAAAGACACATCAGTGGCTGTCTGTACCATTGAAAAAGCAAATTCTTTGATTAACAGGCTACTTGAAGAGGGACGTTTGTCCGAACTTGGAACCATTGTAATTGATGAGCTGCACATGGTACACAACTTGCTACACATTTTTCGTGGGAGTTTAGTCGTTGTAGTTTTACCGGTTTTTCATACTTGTATATGGAATGGTTTTATGTATGATGGCAGGTTGGTGATCAGAGTAGGGGTTATCTTTTGGAACTCATGTTGACAAAGCTTCGTTATGCAGCTGGTGAAGGCAATGTTGACTCTCCTGGTGGAGAAAGTTCAGGGACGAGTAGTGGGAGATCTGATCCTGCTCGTGGTCTCCAAATTATTGGCATGAGTGCGACGCTACCAAATGTTGCTGCAGTTGCTGACTGGCTTCAAGTAAGTTTTTATGGTTATTGAATTTATTGTGAGGTTGCTGAAGATGTGGCATGTTTGTTTGATTCAGATGTTCCGGATATCTATTTTAATTTTCCTTTTTCTTTGTTCTCTTTCTATGGAGGATATAAAAATTGTCATGATGTAATGTAATAGTTTTGCATCTAATATAAAAATTATGTCTGCGGAAATTTCGTGTATTTGCTGGCCAAAATTCATATCTCTATCACTATATTTGCAAATGACTGAACCTGTGTAGTCCAGATATGGGTTTTATTGATGTTCTATTTGGATACTTGCATTGTAATTCACATTTTCGGGAATTTTCTGCAAATAACATGATTTAGTCTTGCCTTCCGATCATCCTTGAATGCCCGACTTAATGTTTCAGTTAGTTTATGCTATCATACATTATATGATACTTGTGGCTTAATTTATTTCTGTAGGCAGCTCTTTATGAGACTAATTTTCGGCCCGTTCCGTTGGAAGAATATATCAAACTTGGTAGCACAATTTACAATAAAGAAATGGAAATCGTGAGGACAATCCCTAAAGCAGCTGACCTTGGTGGTAAAGATCCAGATCATATAGTTGAACTCTGCAATGAGGTCCGATCTTCTCTTTTTCTCATTGACTGTTCTTACGCTGTTCGATCAAATACTTATAGTTTGGATTACATTAGGTTGTCCAAGAAGGTCACTCTGTTCTGATATTCTGTTCCAGTCGGAAAGGGTGTGAATCGACTGCTAAGCATATTGCAAAGTATCTCAAGAGATTTTCTGTTTGCCCTCGAAATGAGAAAGGGGACTCCTTTGATGTTGTTTCTGCCATGGATTCATTGCGAAGGTCCCCTGTTGGTTTGGACCCTATACTAGAAGAGACTCTTCCTTCTGGAGTTGCCTACCATCATGCTGGGCTCACAGTATGCATCTAACTGGGTTATTCATTGTTATGTAGTTTGAACTGAATTTTCAGCTTTTTCTTACTTATTATATCCAATTCTTACACAGTATTCTGTTATTTCAAAAGGTCGAGGAGCGGGAGACTGTTGAAACATGTTACCGCAAAGGACTTGTGCGTGTCTTGACTGCTACATCAACCCTGGCTGCTGGGGTTAATCTGCCTGCAAGGAGAGTGATCTTCAGACAACCACGCATTGGTCGTGAATTTATAGATGGGACAAGATACAAACAGATGGCTGGACGGGCTGGTAGAACTGGCATAGACACCAAGGGAGAGAGTGTAAGCATGGTTTTCGTATTTGTACTGTTATTCTTGCATAATTATGACTAAAAAGAAAAAAATAGGCACTATATTACTAATTGCCAATAAAGTCAATCCTTCTTTATTAAGTAAATGAAATTCATAGCTGACGATTCTATTTCTCAAATGATCACAACAGGTGATGATTTGCAGGCCAGAGGAAGCCAAGAAAATACTGGCGCTTCTAACTGACAGTTGTCCTCCATTACATTCTTGCTTGTCAGAAGACAGGAATGGTATGACCCATGCAATACTCGAGGTAGTTGCTGGAGGAATTGTTCAAACAGCTAATGACATTCATCGATATGTGAGATGTACCCTTCTGAATTCTACAAAACCCTTTGAAGATGTTGTGAGGTCAGCTCAAGATTCGCTGAAATGGTTATGTCATAATAAGTTCCTAGAATGGAGTGACGCAACTAAGTTATATACCTCTACTCCCCTTGGTCGTGCGTCTTTCGGCAGTTCTCTGTGTCCAGAGGAATCACTTGTAAACTATCTCACCCTTCCTCCTTTTCATATAACACACTGCACTTAGTAGTTTCTATCAACAAGTTCTTGAACACTTACTTTGAGCCAGTCACTGCATGTATACTCACACACACATTTATATATTACACACATCTCTACATTTATAAAATATTCTTACATTTCGCTGCTGAAGACTTGGGTAACCATTTAAATTTTGAATATGTGTAGATTGTGCTGGATGATCTCATAAGGGCAAGAGAAGGTTTTGTCTTAGCTTCAGATTTGCATTTGGTGTATTTGGTAACTCCAATTAATGTTGATGTGGAACCAGACTGGGAATTATATTATGAGAGATACATGCAGTTATCTACTCTAGACCAGGTTCCTTCTCCTTTTTTTCTTTTCTTTTTTTTTTCCCCTATTATGTTCCTGAAATTAGATACTCATTGAATGCTTGTGAAAAGTATAGGAAATTCCAGTGCTCTGCTTTATACACATCAATCATTTCATTTTCCCATATTTACCAAGTTTACTCTGTTAAGAATTTGTTCAATCACATATATGCTACTTATTTGATTAGTTCATGGTAACACCTTTTAATAGTCCACTTATTTATCATATTCTTTCTGTTATATATAGAAGCTTAACTTCCAGAAAGACGGCATTTCTTTTTATTTTCTTCAGTTAGAAGCCAAGTATCAATGAAGGGATTTTTAATTTTTACTTTTCTTTCACTCTTTTCCCTTCATATATACCATGCAAATTTCGTCAAAAGTATGAGGTTTTAATAGTTGAACTTCATGGCTTCTGCAAAGGTTATGGTTACTCATTGTTGAAAAGCCTCTTGTTCTCAAATGTGGAAGCCTGAAAGTAATAGCAGTACAACTTTGAATGTGCTTGTTGTTCTTAGCTCAAGTTTGAAACTCAATAGCTAGGAGTTAGAATTAAAAAAACCAGTGTTGAAGAGGATTGCCATTTTTCTTTAGAGCCATCTGATTGGAGATACCTTGAAATTTGAATGAAGCAAAAGGTGAATTATATGTGATTTTGGTAACTGTCGCGAGTGCAGTCTGTTGGCAATCGAGTTGGAGTGCAAGAACCCTTTCTGATGCGGATGGCCCATGGTGCCCCTCTTCGAGGTTTGCGCAGATCAAGGGATCATGTCAAAGGCTTTCAGGGGAAACAAGATCACCGACATGGTACATCAACCCATGGCATGCTATCAGATGAACAAATGCTTAGAGTTTGTAAGCGGTTCTATGTTGCTCTTATCCTGTCACGACTTGTGCAGGTAAAAGTTTCATGTCCTAACAATTTCCACCTCCCTCAAACACCAAAAGAGGGAAGAAAAAAGAAAAAAATTACCCCAACGATATGAACCCACCTATGCATTTATGGCATTTTTTTTGTAAGTCAGGAATGTCATGTGGTAAATCTGTATCATGATGTGGTATTGATCAGATGCATTTTTATTTTGCATGCACTTAAATTGACCTCACCCTCTCTCCATCTCATTCTCAGCGGGCTGCTATGTTAGGTTCTCTATTTTCAGAAGCAATACACATTTAAAATACTTTTTTTTTTGTCACTTTGTAACCTCAATAAGTTTCTTTCTGTTTATATAAATTTGATTTCACACTTTGTGGGGGCATACTTAAATCCTAAAAATACAGGAAATACCAGTGGGTGAAGTATGCGAAGGTTTTAAAGTTGCTAGAGGAATGGTTCAGGCCTTGCAAGAAAATGCTGGAAGGTTTGCATCTATGGTTTCTGTATTCTGTGAGAGGATTGGTTGGCACGATCTTGAAGTTCTAGTCGCCAAATTTCAAAACCGTGTTTCTTTTGGAGTTAGAGCAGAGATTGTAGAACTTACTACCATTCCTTATATTAAGGTGTGAAGTGTTATACATTGAATTCTATGAATCTAAATTGAAGATCCTAACTGCAAGTTGAATGTCTAGGCTTCACGAGCTAGAGCACTTTATAAGGCTGGTTTACGAACACCTCAAGCTATTGCTGAAGCATCAATTCCTGAAATTGTCAAGGCACTTTTTGAATCTTCTTCATGGAATGCACATGGTAAAATCTTCTTTCTTTTTCTTCTTTTCTGTTTCGGCTGCTGAAAATTGTAAATTTCAATATGCTTGATAAATCTAATGTGGGATAAATTTCCCATCATGATCATTAAAGAGGCACAAAGGAAAATTCAAATGGGAGTTGCCAAGAAAATAAAAAACGGCGCTCGGAAAATTGTGCTTGAAAAAGCTGAAGAGGCAAGAGTTGCTGCATTCTCGGCGTTCAAATCTCTGGGGCTAGACACTACTCAGTTCTCTCGTCCATTATTACCTGTTGCTACTGGAAATGGCCTTAAAAAAGAGTCAGCATCATCCTCAGGGGAGGAATCTATAAGTAGCTATGGTCTTCTTCCGCAGTCTAAGCATATGGTGGATGCACCCATGTCTGGGGACAGGGGTGAAAATATTAGCGTAATCCCAAACACTGACGAAGACAAACCTGTAAAAACTCTTGCACCTAACTTTGTCTCTTCAATAAAGGTAATGCCAGCTGAAACTGCAAAGAGCGAGACTCCACAGGAAATCCTTGTTTCAGTTGAAGAATGTCCTAATACCCTGAATCACGAACCAATTCTTACCAACAATTACACTAGTCATGCAAATGGATCCACCTCTATCCCATTTACAGATGTTGGTAATATCAGAAGTAAGCCTAATGATAATTGCAGAGGAGACACTTTGGACAAAGGACCTGTCAATGCTGCTAGTATTCCTGGCGGAGTTGATTCTTTCTTGGATCTTTGGGAGGCAACTACAGAGTTCTTTTTTGATATTCATTTTACTAAAAAATCTGATTTGAACTCAATTGCTCCATTTGAAATACATGGCATGGCCATTTGCTGGGAAAACTCTCCTGTGTATTACTTGAATATTCAGAAGGACTTATTCCTCTACAGCAGCCATGGAAATGATCAATCTACCGGCAGTAAGGATGTTGTGCTAGAAAACCTCCGACTGGAAATGGCCAACAAACGATGGACTAGGATTGGGATGATAGTCGGTAAAAAGGACAGTAAAAAGTTCACTTGGAACTTAAAAGTTCAAATTCAGGTGCTTAAGAATCCTGCTGTTGCTGTTAACAAATATAGCAGCTTGCATGGTGGAATCAAAAGCTTGGGCATGGATCTTATTGAAAATTCTTATTTCATGTTATCTCCTGTTCATGTGAGGTCTGCAATTGATATATGCATTGTAGCATGGATCCTTTCGCCCGATGAGGAAAGAAGTTCTTATCCTAATCTGGAAAAGGTAACTCTACTAGTTCCATTTATAGTTATTTTGTATTTACATCTGAAGAACTCTAAAGAGAAGCAGAAAAGTGTGTCTTTTTCTTTTATCTAAATGAAAATGTGTTTGGACGAGTTACTTCCCAAAAATAGACTTGGCGAAAAATTGTCTGATTTTATTTTGAAGTTGTCTCAGCTTTGCTTTTTTATGTCAGTTGTAATGGTTTTTGATTGGTTTTAGTGCAGTCAAGTCTAGAAGCTTGTTATTCCATGTAATACTAGAATTGATATTTATGTGAATGGCGAGAAATAATTTATTTTTATTTATAGTTTGTATCTTTTTATTTAGAGGTGTATTGCGCAATACTTGGGATATTAATTACGAAGAATGATGAAGTGAGACAAAGCTAGGGGAATTAGCTCATTGATATTTTGGACTTATCTGAGTCCATTGCAAATGGAGCTGGAAGAGTCAATGTTGACAATTCTTCTGGCATCGTGCAAATAATGGACTAGATTAAAATGGCTCAATTAAATTCTAGTGCTTCTTGTATTAGTGAAGTTTCTAAAAAAAATATATCAAACGACGCAACGCATCTTGGGTCGCTATGGAAACAGCCTCCTTGTATAATTACAAGGGTAAGGTCTGCGTACAACTGACCCCCCAGACCCCAACCTGTTTGGGAATATACTGGGTATGTTGATGTTGATGTTGATGTACGATGTTGATATTGCAGTTGTTGACAATATTCCACAAGAATTGCATTTAAATGAAGCCAATCATTATCATAACCAAATTTAGTCTTGTAGATAGAAACGGATTAAAAAAAACATTAAAAATGTGGCGATTTTGATTTTGTTGGCCAAGGATTAACCCGTCTGACTATCTCTTAAACTTTTAGTTATCGAAATGGTTTCTCACTCTTGAATCCTGACAGGAAGTGAAAAGGAGGTTGACTAGTGATGCTGCTGCATCGGCCCACCGGAGTGGTAGATGGAAGGATCAGACACGAAGAGCTGCCCATAATGGTTGCTGCCGCAGAGTTTCACAAACTCGAGCTTTGTTTTCTGTCCTATGGAAATTACTTGAATCTGAAGAACTCGTAGAACCACTTACGACAGTTGAAATTCAATTGGTGAGGATCTTATATTGAACCGAGAGCTGTTCAAGTTACCTCAGTTCGCATATTGTATTTCGGCTAATGTAGCTAGCCATAATTTCTTTTCTATTTGTGTATTGGGTGTGTGTAAAACTAAAGCCGCATGTGTTTTACAGGTGAATGTGCTTGCTGATATGGAGATCTGGGGAATAGGTGTTGACATGGAAGGATGCCTTAGAGCGCGACATATCCTAGGAAGAAAACTCAAGTGTCTTCAGAAAGAAGCTTACACGTTAGCTGGCAAGAAATTTTCACTATCAATGCCTGCAGACATAGCCAATATCCTATTTGAACACTTGAAGCTGCCAATGCCAGAAGGAACTAGTGGGAAACAACACCCCAGCACTGACAAACACTGCCTGGATATGCTCAGGTACTTAGAGTGATAGATACTTTACTGTGAACCTTTCTCTGGTATTTAACTCGCAGCCCGCAGGAATGTGTTTTCTGAAAAGTCTTATATTTATTTTATTTATCTTTTCTTATTTTTCCTTTAGAAATAAAAAGGAAAAGTAAAGGTATAATCTGAAAAATCTTTTACGTATAAATTGAGTTTATATCTGGGAAATTCTATCATTAATTTTTGCATATTTTATTCACTTTATTATCCATTGTATGGTTAGAGTACAGTTTTAGTTACAACTCCTGAGGAGAGTTGGTTCCATAATTTTTTTTTGCTTTTCCAGTAATATTGCTTTAGTTTCACTATGCTATTTTTTTTTTTTTTTTCTTATAATAATTTACGAAAACATTCCATATATGACAAATAGACAGCATCATCTTCTGAAATATGTTGATTCTCTCATGATCAAAATTGTCTTCACCTTTGTGTATAATAAAATTTGAGAAGATGTGAGTGTGGTGAAAACCATTATTAGCAACAATATATCAATTCAATCCAAAAATCTGAGTGAGACTCTTTCTCTCTTCCTCTTAAATATGCATATATACTAGTCTTCACTCTCTGCATTTCAAAACATGTAGAAGATTTTTCACTTGCACATATATGATACGTTTAAACCTTATGGCTTGACAATCAGTTTTCATTTTCCTCAAATAAATTCTTCTGCAATTTTCATTCTTATTGATGCTATTCTTTAGTTTCTTTGGATGATGTTTCTGTAGACTATGATAATTTATATCAGCCTGCTCCCTTTTGTAAATTATTTTATTCACGCAATATTGTCACTGTTCAGTTGCATTAATGATGTCCAGTCTGTTGATTTTCCTCACTTCAGAGTTTATCTGACTCCAAGACATTGATGCATTTCAGAAATGAGCACCCTATCGTCCCAGTAATTAAGGAGCATCGGTCACTGGCCAAACTCATGAATTCCACTTTGGGATCAATATGTTCTCTAGCCAGACTGTCTATGAGGACCCAAAAATATACTCTGCATGGTCATTGGCTCCAGACATCAACAGCTACTGGTCGGCTTTCCATGGAAGAGCCTAACCTCCAGGTCCCCTCTGAACTTACTTCGATTTTTGGTTTGCTTGTTTGTTTTATTTCTTCTTCTTTCAAGTAAGCCTAAATGGCCTCCTCTGAAATGGACAGTGTGTTGAGCATTTGGTTGAGTTCAAAACGAATGAAGATGATGAGGAATTAGGTAATGGTCACTATAAGATCAATGCACGTGATTTCTTCATCCCTACTCAGGTGAGATGCTTTAGATTTTGAAACTCAAAGACCTTTCGTTTAAACTAAAGCAGCTCCAAATTGAAGCAATATTAAAGCCTGTGTTACTTCATTTTCTTGTTGCAGGATGATTGGTTGCTGCTAACTGCAGATTATTCTCAGATAGAGCTGAGACTTATGGCTCATTTCTCAAAAGATAATTCCTTAATTAAGCTCCTGACCAGTCCCCAGGGTGATGTTTTTACGATGATTGCGGCGAAATGGAGTGAGAAACATGAGTCCAATGTCAGCTCTCAAGAGAGAGATCAAACAAAGAGACTGGTTTATGGAATTTTGTATGGGATGGGACCTAACACTCTGGCCGAGCAATTGGACTGCAGTCCAGATGAAGCCTCAGAAAGAATTCAAAATTTTAAGAAATCATTCCCTGGTGTTGCTTCCTGGCTTCAGGAAGCAGTTACATCATGCCATAAGAAAGGGTGAGATCCAACATGGTCTGAATGCTAGTAATTTTTTAAGTTCAATTTTGTCAGTTTCTTTGTGTCCAAAGAAGTTTTTACCGAAGGAGTCACTATTTCCATAACTTCAAGTTGTTTACCAGAGAAATATTTCCTTTTGAGACTTCATATTCATTTTCTTAAACTGAGACATATACCGCGTCCTTTTCCTTTTCTCCCATCGATCTCACAATCACATCTTATGACGCTATCACCGTTTTTGCAGTTATGTGGAGACATTAAAGGGACGAAAGCGTTTCTTAGCAAAAATTAAATTTGGGAACAGTAAGGAGAAATCGAAAGCTCAGAGACAAGCTGTGAATTCAATTTGTCAGGTTGTTTGTTATTCTCCTGGAATCACTACAGTTTTTTAGTTGTTAGTCTCTTTTGACTTGAGCTTTTATCTTCATTAGTATCCTTAGGGTAAGGCCCTGTTTGTCTTATGATGGGATGGGGAAGTTATACTTATTTGTTAATGAATGTTGAATTAAATAATTTTTACTTGAAAACAAAAGTACTTCTTTTGGCTGTTACAGGGATCTGCTGCTGACATAATAAAAATCGCAATGATATGCTTGCACAATATGATTGGCGAGGATTCCGAGGCATCTTGTCCTACTTTCATAGATATGGAAAAATTTCAGAATCTTAAAGGTCGCTGTCGGATCCTTCTACAGGTAACTTGCTGAAAAGTATTTTATGGTTCCAACAAATATTGGTTTTCCTCCGTACCGTAAATCTTGTTTCTCGACGCAGTGGTTTACAGCTTCTTGCAAGTAGTTTCAGGTTTCTCTGATTTGGAAATAATATTTGTCTATTGATGCTTGTGAGTTTCTTTTTGACATGGTCTTCAACCTGTGCTCATTAGGTACATGATGAACTTGTTCTGGAATCGGATCCTTTGGTTGTAAAAGAAGCTGGGTTGTTGCTGCAAACATGCATGGAAAGATGTGTATCACTTCTTGGTAATGGTCTCAGAGCTAAGAAATATGAATAACACTGTCCCATCTTTTCTGGCTCACTAAATCCATATGAATGCAAGTTTGATTGAGAGAAATAAAATTAAAAAAAAAATAAAAAATTTACCATCATACATCAGCCAACAAGAAATTCTTTAGAGAATGATCCAAGTGAGATTTTCTGCAAGTTTTTACCTATATATACGTACCTATTTTTCTCAATGGAATAATGTTTCTTGATTACTTCTTTTGCAGTTCCTTTGCCTGTCAAATTGAAAGTTGGAAAAACATGGGGATCTTTGGAACCTTTTGACCCTAATTCTTAAGATACTATAAAGAGCCTTAATTCTACCTAGCCTTTCTGGAAGGATACCTGTGCATATGTGTGGCCTACATTTCACCCTAAAGGTAATCTGTTAATTTTGTTCTTGTTCCATTAGATTTCATACTTAGTACTGACATTTGTTTCTCAATTTACTTAATCACGCTCACAATATGATACATTTTAAGAAAATCCTGGTGTTTCTTTTGTCCTTTCCAATATATTTTAAAGATACAAGGCCATACATTTTTATTGCTTTCACTATCTGAAAGAAACACGGCATTGCAGATCCATATATCACAACACACACACAACCACAGACATCCGTCATCCCAGTCACTAGGATTTGCTAAAAAACACATCCAAACACACAAAACAGACCATTTCAACAAGCACACTCATCTCTTTTTATTTGTCTTTTCCTCTCTAATCCTTAGGAACCCACACAACGTGATCTTCCGGAAGAAAATGGCAAACCGGCACACTCCCCGGCTTCACCTTGAGCACCCGAAATGCCACATGCTTAGGGTTCCATGCTGATGTGTCCTGGTGGCACACTGCCACTGCCGCCGCCTTCGACCCGCTGCCTGCTGCCGCCATCTCCACCTCATATGCTGCTGTCCTCCTTGTCTCGTGGCAGTAAAACACCGCGTACGCGTACTCCTGCCTGTGGCACACCACAAGTCCTCTCTCGTTCGGCAATTTATTGACCCGAACAATGGCATACTCCATTTCCCCGCCACTCTCGGCTTCTGTAGAAATCGCCTTCACATCTTTCCCGAGCCTTGAGGTGGCGAAATCAACCATGGACTCGAGAGAGGTCGCGCATAGTTTCTTCTCTCCCTCTACTCCTTTCTCCTCACATTCTTCAATTGTTTTCTTCACTACCCCTGCTTCTTTCGAACCGGGGTTTAGTGAGAACATGTTCAGTATCTCGGGCAGCTTGTTTGAGGAAAAGGGCATCGAGTCTGCATCCCGACGCGACAGGAATGCGGGCCCATTTGTAGTTTTTGGGAACTGCAGGTTCATCTTACGGCTTGCCTGCAGATCCTTCTCGAGGAAGAATAGGGCCACATTTGGGTTGTCATGCAGTTGGGTCTCGGTGGCTGCGTAGCGGTAGTTAAATGGGCTGTACCCGGGCTGGACTCTGACATAGACGGGCTTGCCCTTGCGGGTGCGGGTCCCGACAGTGACACCACCCTTGCCGACGCCGACGTTGGTGCGGTGGCCCTGTTTGCCGGTGTGGACCCCAACGCTGCCGTGGCCGACGTTGACGTTGGTGCCTCCTGGCTTGGGGCGGCCCGTGCTGACGTGAACCCCGCCCTTGGTTACGCCTACGCTCGTGCTCTTCTCGTCTTCTACCCACTCTGGAGTAACAGTGTGAATAAGGGTTTGTTTGTTATGGATCTATGTGTTGGAAATATATGTTTTGTACTTATATACAGCAATAGAATCTGCTAATAAGTATAACTATTACCAGGTTTTATGAGTTCTTTTACAGCTCTGGGCATTGGAGAGTTTGGGAGCACTGATTTCCAGTAGTCTTCTGAAGACAACAACTCTGCATGGCTTCCCACTAGTACAAATGCCACCTGAAAAAACAATAAATAAAAAAGATTCAATTTAATTCATTTTCTTATTCACCTTTTGCTTGGTTGGTGTAAGTAATAAATGATTAATTGTTACTCACTGAAAAAAGTGCCAAAATGTGCTGAATCTTGGACTCCATTTTTTTTTTTTTTTTTTCTCTTGGTTTTACACGGAAAAAAAAAGAGATGAGAAGCAGCTTATATACACATCACACTACATTTATGACTTCACTTGTCCAACTACATTTTCCTCCAAAATATAGGTAATAAAATCCATTTAAGTGAAACTATACGTGGCTCATTTATAGGTAATAAAAAAGGGGGTGTCTATATGTACACCCCCTCAAGTGTAAAAAAGGGGTGTACATATAGCACTTTTCTTTGTGTAATTTATTAAAAGGGGGTGTACATATAGCATTGCCCATAAAAAATATGGGGCCTTGAAGGAAAGAAAATATAGTGCAATAGTTATTGGTGATGTGAATGTGATGTGAAAGCTGAAAGAATTTAAGCCGAAAATCACAACTGACACCATTGGACTTATATAGACCAACTTCCAAACAAACAACTACCAAAAATTTATTGGGGGTGCCTCTTTGGATGGAAGTTGAGCGTTGATAGGATTTGTTGAGTTCACTGCCGCCCGATCAATATTTCCGGCCCTTTTAGCCACTGTAAAAAAATTAGGGAAAAAATCTTTATCATCCCATAACAAATATAAAAAATCTCTAAAAAAGTCTCAAAATTTAGGGAAAAAAGTCTTTTCCTTTGTAATTTTGTTACAAAAGTCTCTAAAAGTCTCAAAATTTAAAAAGTCTCACAAAGTCATTTTGTTTTGAATATCGGGTGACTTATAAAGACTCTCAGAATGTT